TAAGGTCTGTTTTCCTGACCTCTGATCATGCGCGTGGCTCTTCTCTGGACTCTCTCAAGCTTCTCCACATCCTTTTTGAATTGTGGAGCCCAAAACTGGATGCAGTACTCCAGCTGCGGCCTCACGAAGGCCGAGTACAAGGAGAGAATGACGTCCCGGGATTTGCTTGAGAAGTATCTATGGATGCAAGCCAGGGTTTTGTTTGCTTTACTATTTTGATTGGGTTTTGCTCCAAACCTTGATACTTTTCAAAGGAAATGGCAATCTGAGCTACTGCAACTATGGAGCAATCCTTTATTATTGCAGAGCTTCTGTTTAATTTGAGTCTGCCTGGTCTGCTACAGAAATAGTGACATATGCACACCAGTTTTTTTAACATTTAAGAAATATTTGATATCTCACTGGACATCCCAATTATCAGTAGTTTTTCTGATATTATAACACATATTCATCTACATATTTACAAGGATGATATGTATTGCTATCCCATTTTAGAGATGGACAAACTTAGTTATATGGGAGCCATGCTAACTTCCCAAATTCATGAAGCGGATCAATACAAGAACCATAAATAGGACGAAGGTCGTACTAACTCCCAGTAGTATAACAGCTATATTGGAAGTAATTGTTTTGCCTTAATTTCTTTTGGAAGGGATACAAAAACCATAGTAGAAGCAATAAATTATTGCTGTGGTAGGCATGGAAATTCCTTTTCTTCATCACCAGCTCATAGAGGAGATTTTTGATACACAAGTGCCTCCAGTCCTACAGTCAGATGTTTAAATCAGCATGTGCATTTTTACATGCTTGTATTCTTTGTGCTTTGATATCAGTGTTCAAAAATAAGATCTGGATGTCCTACTAATGTGTTTGAAAATGAGGCTTCCCATCTTCAATACTGACCTGTTTAATTATTAAAACATTCAAAAGAAAGCAAGACAGCCTTTTAAATTGTCTTTCTATGACACTTTTCCACACTGCAACACAGAAAATTCTGGATTCTGAAAATAAAGCTACATTTAAAAAATATTATACTAATTTACCATATATGAAATGCATTTAGGATATACAAGATAGGGCAAAGTTAAATACCTAAGCAGGGAGAACAATATAGATTCGGATTTGCAATAGTGAAACACTGAAAACTGAAAGTACAGGATGAAGCCATCAAGGGCCAGATTCTATTCCACCTATTAGATGTGTAAGTAGATTTAAGCACCTAACTGCAATTCTCTTTCAGCCTGCTCAAGTCTCTGAAAAACAGTTCATGTAAAAGGTGAGTCAGTCCTGCTCCTCTTCACTGCTTTTTTGTGACTCAGTCTTAAGGGTCAAATGGTGGTGTGTTACACAAGTAGATGTATTAACGGGATTTTAGGACTTATACAGTGGGGAACAGAATTACCCTCAGTGTTCAAGCCCATGTAAATGCCTGATAACTGGAACAGAAACTGGCCCCAGGAGACTTAGCAGCTCCTTACCTTTACTATCAGTAAAGTTCCGTATACTGAGGATATCATTAAGATCCTGATAGTGGTTCTGCTTAATATATGTGGTCTTCTCAGGTGTATCCTGAAGCTGCATTGTGACCTCTTCTAAATCTTTATCCAGCTGTAAAACAAATACAAAACATAAGAGACCTGTAGAGTAGGAATCATTAAAAACTCAAGTCACTGCTTAGACTACTAGACAGCAAGCTTTGCAATGCTGAATTTTATTAGCATTTCTATACTACTTACCAAAGCCAGGCTGAAATGCAGTTCTCACAGAACTCTACATAGACAATAATACTGCTATTTGCAAAAAGCAACAGGCACAATAAAATCTGGCCCCAAGAGCTTGATTTTCTATTTCACCTATGAACTGAGTATTTCCACATAAATGGAATTTGAGGAACTTAAAATCACAGAATCATAGAAAAATAGGGCTGGGAGGGACCTCCAGAGGCCACCTAGTACAATCTCCTACTCAAGGCAGGAACATCTCTATCCACACCATCCCATACGTGCGCCTGTCTAATCTATTCCTAAAACTACACAATAACCCTGTTGCATAACTATAAGGCACATAGCCCAAAGGCATGAAGAACATCCTAGCCTGTTGCAAGTTGTTAAATACGCTCAAGAAATCTAAGGAAGAGAACCATGTCCCACACTGCAGAGGAAGGCAAAAGCCCCCATATAGTCTGTACCAATTTGACTGTGGGGTAAAATTCCTTCCTGACTCCAAATGCAGTAACTGGTCTGACTCTCAGCAGTAGGGCAACACCCTCTAAGCAAACACCTCCTGGTTTCGGTTCCAGCAGTATAGTATTTACAAGAACAAAATATTTCTTGCAGACATGACTAACAATCTCATTAATGACTAGCAGCTACTATACTGCAACAACTTGGTTAAATTCTCCTTACTGTGAAAATCTACATAGTAGCTATAGCCACCAAGAGTTAGATTCTATTACACCTATTAGGTGTGTAAATGGAATTGAACACCTATGTTGAGTCCTATGCCACCCTGTTCAAGTCTCTGAAAAACAGTTAATGGAAAAAGTGGTGATGCCTCTTCCTTCTCCTTGCTGCTTTTTTTTCACTCAGTCTTACAGGTCAGCTGATGGTATGCTACAAAGGCAGATGCATGAATGAATTTTCAGGACTTGAACAATGTGGAATAGAATCACACACAGCCATCTAAGCAAAGATTTCTCACCACTGACACGACTAGAAGAAATTAAAGGAAAAGAATACTATTTTGATATGTTCATAATACAGAGGCAAAGAATAGCCTCCCCAAAGGGCTAAATTGTGCCTACGAGATATAGACCTCAATAGGACCCAGAGCAAGGACTGTATTGAGTTACCCCTGGTTCTCAGGGAGCTCTTGGGTGCACCTACATATTCAAGGTATCCAGGTCATAGTCATATTGGTCTAGAGGAAAAGGCAATCAGGACTCGTAGTAGAGATGATATCTTTTAAGAGACCAACAAGATTTTTGCAAAAAAAAATCTTTAATTGTAAGCTTCCAGGCACAAGCACCCTTCATCAGGCATTGGAGAAAAGCTTATAAAAGTTCTCCTGGGTGTTGTCTAATAAAAGATATCAACTCCACTATGAGTCCTGATTGCCTTCTACATGTTCAATTAATTTGAAGCAATAAACACTGGCACATATTGTGCCACAGTTTATTGCTCCCAGGTGCCGTGTTTGAATATGTGCCTGGGACTGCAGCATATACAGGAGGCCCGGAGGGGTCAACCTGCCAGACCAGGGCTGCTACAACTCAGCGGAACGTGCTGTGGAGGAGCTGTTTGGGGCATGAGGATGCTCCAGTGCGAAGCTAGCTGACAGGCAACCCCCATACTGAAGCACCTTTGTGCCCCAGCCAGCCCTGTCATCTACATGTGCATTGCTGTCTATGAAAAACTCTGCAGCAGGACAGTCCTTGTATTTACAAGCACTAACCTGTGTCAGAGTTTATTAGTTTACTGTGGCCTAGTAGGGCCGAATGCGTAGATGCTGAGACATTTACTGCAGAGCTAGTAGTTTACTGTGGAGCTCTGCAGTTAACACTTCGTGTGGATATGCTCATTGTGCACAAGTGACAGGGATCATCTGGCCCCCAGATCACATCTGTTCCCAGGGGGAAATAATGAATTCAAGTGCGAATTAAATTTTACCATATTTACTTGAATCTAAGATGACCCTAAATTTAAGATGACTCTCTCCCCCCCGCAATAATTAGATTCTATGCATGGAAAATTTATAAATGTGTTATAATTTTCCACGTATAGCATCTAATTATGGGAGGGTTGTCTTTAATTCATTCTTTTCACTGCTGCAAGGGGGCAAGCAGCGGAGGGGATGGGGGGCAGGTGGTATAGGGAGGTCAAGCAGCTTGCCCTATCTTTATGCCTGCCCCCCTACCATCCTGCTCCCTTGCAGCTTCGGGCTCCCCTTCCCCCCACTTTTGTCCCCACTTTCTCCCCAGTCTTTGCTCCCACCTTCCCCCTCAGCCTATTCTCTCCCTCTTCCCCCCAGCTTCTTCTTCACTGACAGGCTCTGTCCCTATTCCAGCCCAGCACCCCATAGCAGACATGTAGGCTGTGCACCACTGCTATGGGGACAGGCTGAGACTGTACTAAGTGCCCCAGGCTGCAGCGTGCATACAGCCTGCCAGCACAGAGCAAAAGTATGGGTGGGGGGAGAGGGACAGGCAGGGCAGCAGAGGCTCCATGGCGGGGAGTAGATGAGTAGAACAGGCTACAGGGGGGAGATGGCAGGGTGCAGAGGCACAGGGGCTTGGGGAGATGGGATGGGACAGGCAGCAGCTCTGGCTATGGCCCAGACCCCACGTAGCTGCTACAGCTTGAGCCACAGCAGCCACCTGCCCCTGGTATTGCTTTTGTACTCAATTCTAAGATGAGGGGCTCCCCACCCCATGTTAAATGGGGAAAAATACCCTTGTCTCAGAATCAGGTAAATACAGTATATTTCTTCCTTATAACTTTTGGATGGAAAAATTCTATAAAGGCAATCTAGGAAATAGCTACATCCTTTATTAGAATGAGCCTCAAACCCTTCACACACTGGAACGTGTTATTGTTCATAGCAGGTTTGTATATCTAATTACATGTATTTGTATAAAGTCTGAACAGAAAACATTTCCACTCTTGGACTTCTTTCCAAGAATCAATATGATTTCAACAGGACTTGATTCTATTCAGTTAATAGGTAATGGTTCTTTCTAAATTCACTCGCTATAACATGGCCTCCTCAAACTTTGGGCAACAGACCTAAAAGATGATGTTCTAATGCAGATGGAATTTCGATATAACCTTGGGATGAAGATTTGTCTTCGTGACAAATTATGGAGGGTTTCACTCGCCCTCGACTTGCCTTCACAGTACCTTAAACCAGAGGCCTAACAAGGCAGATGTGCACTCAGTTGCAACACATGGAGGCAGCAGCTGTTGCCTAGTTGCATAGTTTTGGTGTCATGTGGAGGTTACAGTGCAGCAACACATCTCCTGGGGTTTCCAATTTTTGCCAACTGTTAGCCAAATTTCTTTTCTTACAGCAGTGGCTTTCAAACTACCTGAACCCTTTTGTACCACTTCTTTTGTAGCAGAACTCCAACTCCTATCCTGTGAGCTGACATGGAGCCAAGTGACCTGCCCCAACAATGGCAGAACACTGCCTCCTGGCCCACTCTGCCACTATCCCCAGAGCTCTTTGCTGAAGCCCAGATGACCTATTGCAGAAGCCCAGGGCTCTGCAGAACACAGTTTGAAAACCACCTTAGAACACAGGCTAAAATTAAGCATATTATGTGTTCCAAAAGATGAATACGCTTAAGATCCATATGGCTTTATGGTTAGGTAAATCATTCTGTCCCGTGCATAGAACAGTACATCTGCTCTAGCAGCATATACATACCTCTGTGATTTTCATTCTCAAGCGGTGGTTTTCTGACTGCAGCCCTTCTAGCCGAGACGTGCTGGCCTGATTGACGCTGGTGACTGATGTTGATGTTTTTGAGTCTTCTTTCTTTTGATTCTGAGTGAACTGGAATCGTCTGTTCTGCGTGGCTGCATCTGGATTTGTCCTCAGTGTGATTAGCTGCAAAGTTTGAAAGCTGTAAGAAATTCTGTACAGGGTTTTATTTTTATGTAAATGTATTCTGTGCCCCAAAATCATAGAAGATACAATTAAAGAGCAACTCCTGGATTTTGAAGTACAGTCCTCAGCAAAGTAGGAATACATTGTACATTCCATGTGCAGTAGTTAGCCAATTTCTGTAAGGCTACTCTGCTATTTTTTTCCAATTTTAAACTGTAATTTATCAACTCTCATTTTTTCCTTCATTTATGTTTTCATCCTTCAGAGCAATACAATCCACTTAAAAATCACAATTCTATCCCTGAGCATGGAGGGGCCCCAGAGAGAGAGGGAGAGGGAGAGACAGAGAAAGATGTGCTAACTTAATAAGCACAGGGAAGTTTCATTGCTCTTAAGCATAACAGAGACAGAGGCCTTGAAAGCAGGGGTAGGGAGTAACCCCAGAGTGTGCTTGGAGAGTGTGGAGCAGGGCATATATTCTGGCAGCAGCCTCAAAAGCAATGTAAACAAGCCTACAGATTCAGCTGACCAAGCAAAGTGGTAAACTCTGCCTCATTTGAAAGTCATTGCAGTAATACTGGATATCTTGCTTTAAAGATATGCTCCAGTTCATCTAAATACTGGCTTAGAAGGAAAAAAATCAATAGGTGGCATCTGCTATCTGTGCTAGAACAAAGACCAGGCTAGATCACCTTAATGGAATGGACCCTTCTAGCCTCAAAAATCTACAAGACCAGTCCTCTCTTTCTTTGCCCATTTTTACATCAAAGTGAATGCCAAGTGGGTGTAATATGCTGTCAGATTAGAAAGGTCATATTTCAAATCGACCTACTTCTTATTTTGCTCTGGTGTAAAGCATTAGGTCTGTGGGTTTTCTTGTTTTTTTTTTTTTTCTTGAAGGGCTGGAGCTGGCCCAGGTGGGGTGCACATGCAGGAACTGGGGGAGTGAGGGGAGGTGTTGGGGGCTCATGCAGAGCCTCCCATGCAGAGTGGGGCAGTGGGGGGGGTGGCAGGAATCACCCCCCACCTGGCAGCACATGCTGAATTGGGGCTTTTTTTTTTAACAAGTGCCGGGAGCTGGGGCGGGTGAGGCAGCCATTCCCAGGCTGGGAGAGGGGTGGGGGATGGGCCTGCCTGATTCGGAGATTCAGCTGAATTGAATCGGGACCGTGATTTGAATCACCGAATCAAATCGCTGTCCCCCGAATCGGCCGAACCCGAATCCAAAGCGAATAGGCCTTCGCACAGGCCTATTATAGTTCAGGTCCCTGCTTGCACATGTGCTTGCCAATGCTGGAAGCTGTGGAAGAAATGCAATGTAAGTTGGGGTGTGGGGAGGCTGGGTGGGATTGGGGGTGCCAGCAGGTCTGCAGGGAGGTTGGCAGGTCTGGGGGGAGGTTTTGGCAGGGGTGTGGGAGGCTGGTGGGTCCTAAGTCTAATGTATGTGGGCAGTGCCAGATTTAGACACAACCTAAGAAAGCTACAGCTTAGGGCCTCACATTATGAGGGGCTTCTAAATACAAAAAACCCCCAAACAAACAGTAAAACCTCACAAATCTAGCATGCTTGGGACTGACCATGTGCCGGAAATTTGAAAATTCCAGTTTTTTGAAACCGGCACTGCAGCCAGTTGCGAAGCTGGGTGAGGTGGGGGGATAGTGGCAGCCAGTCCTGGAGCACCAGCCACGTGCAGAGCAGCAGCGTGGGGTGCTTAATGGAGGTGGCAGCACCTGCGTGCAAGCTTCCCCTGGTCCTGCCGCCCCCCCGCCAGTCCCTATCCCCCCAACCAGAAGTCTCTTCCTGCCACGGCTTTCAGGCTGCTCCAGTACCATGTGGCTGCATCGCCAGACTGCAGGAGCATGGGGCCGGGAGCGTGTGTGTATGTCTGTGTGTGTGTGTATGTGAGAGAGAGAGAGACTATGTGCGTGAGACTGTGTGTGTGTGTGTGAGAGAGACTGTATGAGAGAGAGATTGTGTGTGCTGATCTCTGTAATTGCCCTTGTGTTGCTGTAGATTAGACGTTTTCATATATGCTAATTAAGAAATCATAAAGTATTTTAACTTGATAGTATTTCATAATGCAAATAGGCTTATTGCAAGATATATGTTTTAGTTAGATTATTAGTTTTTTGTTGCAACTTTGCCTGTGTATATATATGCAGATATAAAGCTTTAATATTTCTATTTTCATTGTCATTTCTGTTAGAACAATACACGTTTTTTGGTAATGCTATGGGGCCTTTTAAGCTTGACATAGTTTAGGGCCCCAGCATGTCATAATCCGGCCCTGTCTGTGGGGACTGTATGTGTGACACAATATAAACATAATGGATGGCATTTGCTGTATCAAAGAACTTACAGCCTAGGAGGCAAAATGCAGGAGGTGGAAAAGAAAAAAAAAGACTATGGGAACAAGGTAACAAACACACCTAGTATGTACAGTTTGTAGAAATGTAGTAGCAGTGATCAAAGCTCTCTGCCCACCTAGCCATGCTCAAGTTGAAGTGTCCTGGATGCATTATGGAAGAAATGAGTTCTTAAGAGGGACTAGAAAAAGGGCAAAGTGTGGCAGCATAATAGACTTTGACCACGGGCTTAACAGTACAATAATAGGTTAGTTAGATCAGCAGTTCTCAATCTTTTTAGGTTCCAGGTACCCCTCATTAGGCTCAAGGAGCCCCTTGAAAAATTCCAGCTCTTAACTTTCACTCATTTTTTACTACAGTAAGAATAACAGGTTGATTCTTCTGTTGCAAAAAAACTCAGAAAGGCCACAGCAGGGCAGAATGTGTTTGACACTATAGATTCCTATGTGGAATCTCTGGGTTTACTTTTTGAATCTTGTGTAGGTGTTTCAGAAGCATCAGGTGTTAGCAACTAATGTAGGCATGATCCCAGACTCCAAGTACCAATACGTTAAATTTCTGCTAAAAATCCTTAAGAAACCAGGAATTTCTGAGTTACTAATAAGACTCACTCTCTGCCCTCTATGAGCACCTTATCATTTTTAACATTTTCATAATGTTCCCGTGGAGCAAAAAAGTTTTGATATAGCCATTTTACAGATTGGGAAACTGAGGAGAGACTGAGTCACAGGCCTAAAGTCTCACAATAAGCCCGTGGCAGACAAGAGAACTCGATCAGGTCTGTGAGTCCCCAGTAAGCACCCCCACCACTGATCTAACCTTCCTCCTTTACAGTCCCCAGGGCTAAGTGCAGACAGTCAAAATCCTAAGGCTAAATCAATTCAAACTAGGCAGCATCCTCTTAGCTGCATAGACTGAACTGATAACCAACTGAACTGATATTCAGTTTTTAATTAGGAAAGGCAGGGGGAGGTCTGCACTGACCCAGGCCAGTAGGCAGGGGATGTGTGAGCACATCTCCCAGCCTGCTGGCCATTGCCAGCCCAGCCAAGCATCCCCAAATCTCTGGTGTCCTCCCATGGGAGAGAGGGTGCTGGCCCACCTCGGTAGAGCCTCCCTCTCAGGAGATTGCCTCCTGCCTGGGTTTCTCAGCTCAGGCAGCCCTGGGGAGCTGAGGGGGATTCTCCTCCTCCCCCTTCCCAGCTGATGATTGCTTCAGCTGCAGTCACAGGAGCAAGGGAAAAGAAGTTCTCTCAGCCAGGTGCCTGTCCCTGCAGCCCAGCATAGGGGCACTGGGGAGCTCCTGTCCTGGGGACACTGAAGCAATCAGCAGCTGGGAGGGGAGAGGTCTGCCATGATCAGAAAAGCCAGCACCACAGGGGCTTGCCCTCCCCCCACGTTCTGTGTAGATCCTGGGTACGGGGGGTTGGGGGGGGGCTGGGGGGTCTGTTCTCCTGCCCCTGTCCCTATGGGCTGATGGACACAGGCAGAAAGCAGGCTAAGGAGTAGACAGGCAAGGCAGTTCCTGCTCCACTGGGTGGGCAGCATGGTCCAGGACTGCAAAGCATCCTGAGATGCTGGGGGGCTGTGACTTAACTTGAACCAGGAAGAGATCTGGGACTGAAGTTCCCTAAACTGGTTTGACCTAAATCAGTTAAGTCTGATACTACATTGTAGAAACTATAGAAATCATAGAAATGAAAGGCTGGTGGGGACCTCGAAAGATCATCGAGTCCAACCCCCCTCTGCTCTGGGCAGGAATACTGCTGAGATCAAATGATCCCAGCAAGGTGTCTGTCCAGTCTCCTCTTGAAGACGTCCAAGGCTGGGGACTGCACCACCTCCTTGGGAAGTCTATTCCAGATTCTGGTCACCCTTACCATAAAGAAGTCCTTTCTTACATCCAACCTGAAACCTCCCTCTAACAGTTTATGGCCATTGCTCCTTATCTTCCCCTGGGGTGTCCTAGTGAACAGTTTTTCTCCCAGCTCCCAATATTCACCCCTTACATACTTCTAGATGGCCACAAATTCCCTGCTCAGTCTTCTCTTCCCCAGAGTGAATAGTCCCAGATCCCTTAGTCTTTCCTCATAAGGTTTGTCCTCCAGGCCCTTAATCATTCTTGTAGCCCTTCTCTGGACCCTTTCACGATTCTCAATGTCTTTTTTGAAGTACGGTGCCCAGAACTGGACACAGTACTCCAGCTGGGGTCTCACCATCACTGAGTGAAGAGGAAGTATCACTTCCTTAGCCCTGCTTGCGATGCATCGACTAATGTATCACAAGCTTATCTTAAACTGAACTTCTGTGCTGTTACAGGTTTAAACTAGTTTCTGATCACTTAAACCAGTTTATGTGTAGCTTCTGTCCCTAGCCCAAAAGAATGAACCACACAGTTTATCTATACCAGGGCAGTGGCAGGTCCTGGGAGCATTGGGCTGAGGATATCCCATCCACCCACCTCCACAGGCATGCTTCAGAACTGAAAGTTCACAGTAAGGCTGCTCTGGACTCCAGCACTCTTGAGTCTTCAGCCTCTGGTAGGTCTGCAAGTGGATGCTGGGAAGAAATCCAGAGGAGCTTTTTTGGCAAACTTCTGGCTCAGACTGTCACTGAGCTCAGGTTGGATGTTGTGGACTCAGTCCTAGGATCTGCAGGGTATACTGTCACCCATCTTTCGAAATTACAGACTCAAACCTTTTTCTCTCTTTCTTGGGCTTAGAGAGTTAGAGAGACAGTGTGCGCATTACAAATGTATATATTCAAATTCTTGCAAATTTGATTTATGCATTCCAGTTTTTCCAAAATCTTATGGAACTTTGCTGTTCACACATTTCAGGGATAACAAATTACAGATTGAATTGATTTAACATTTGCACATATCCTTCTTGCTTGTTGCAAAAATGTACTTAACATAGAATTGTCCTAAAAAAGAAAATAAAAATTGAAGAATCAGCATACAACTTACCTTAGGTACAAACACAAGGCAGAGTGTAATGGTACTGCAGAATATAATGACTAAAGCGACAATACAAAACTGAACATTGGGCTGATCTCGAGTGAGGAATGAAACTGCTGCACCAATAATACACATTATCCCCACATTGTATACACTCATCCCGATGTATTTGCTGTCATTCAAAGCAGGAATGCTGACGTTTCGAGTCTCCCATGCTAAGAAACAGCCAAATAACTGTAATGGTAAAAAGAAGGAAAGGTTAAAGAAATAACAAAGTTTATATAAAGCAACTTCTTATAAGCTGTTATATACTTTAGTTAGCTTTCTTCTACAAGCAATTAAAAAGGCTGATGTCAGCAATATACTAAAAGAAGAATCAGACATTTGTTTTTACATATCTCACGTCATCTAATTCAAACTCTATTATTTTACTGTCAGTACCTCAAGAAAACAGATTAACAATAGCAATTTGTTTCTCTACAGACACATGTGAAAACTATATTTATACTCTTTAATCAGTAGAGATGGGACAACTTCCCCAAAGTTTAGAAGTGTTCATTAAAGATAAACCATTTCTGCCTTCATTCAAGACTTTCAGTAGAACCTAAATATGGGGAGCCAAGGTATTTTTCTTCCCCACAAGTACCAGCAATACATAGCAGTTGAGTGCTCTCTTATTATCACTTCTATTAATAAACAGCAGTGCTCAGTTAGATCCTGTGCTGCCATTCAGAACTCAATAGCTGGAAACAACTACTGTAAAAAGCAGAGTACCAGTTCTGTGAACACAACTATGGCTTCTTTTATTATAGAGGGAGCTGGTAATGGCCTCTGTATTTAGGTGGCCTAACATAAATATTCTTATGATCCCTTTTTTGAGATGTTCTAACACTTTCTTTGTTGCTGTAGCCTTTGAACTTCACAGGGGGAAAGCTTTCAAGTTAAAGAAATGCCTTTTCTTTGTCCCATTAAATTCTGTTAGACTTTGCCTCAGATATAAGCTCCTGAAAATCACCTTTTCCTTTTGCATTAACCTTCCTCAGGAAAATTCTGACAACATAGAAAAGCAAAGTGACTATGGATATTATAAATGTCTGGGCCCATGTCATGGCTTATGCAAGAACAGCAGCCCAAATTCAGAGGAATCTGTGGGAGTAGGTACTTTCTCTGGAACTGCCAGCAGGAGAACTGGACTGTGTTTCCATTAAAGACCCCCCAGATCTTAGCCTATGGCTCTCATAGCCAAATCCCTCTTTGAGGGTATCACATGGCCACAGAGAGGGATAAGAAGAAGAAAGGGAAAGGGAAAGAGACATAGGTTAAGTTCTCAACCAAGGGGCACAAGTGACCTTGTGCCTCCCTTCCCTCTAGGCTAGTAGCCATCTTCAGCTACTTTCATTTTTTGTTATGTAAGTTTTAAGTGCCTTCATTCCCTTCCTCTTCCCCCCTTTTCAACTGAAGATTTGGTTATTTTGACTTTGACAATTAAGGGCTTTCCCCCAGGAATTACCTCCCACTTATGAGACTTGATTATTGCTACCTGCAACCTGTGCTTAGGTCTCTGAAGGAGCAGGGTTTAATTTAAGGCATGAACCTTCAAGAAACCCAGGGATTTAGGATTTTTTTTTAAAATTAAGCTGGAAATGCAATAGCTTTCAATAGTTCCTAAAGGAACTTTAGCACAGTGTGAGGATAGTAAGAAGGCTGCAGAGCATATAGCTCAGAGCTCAAATCTGGATGCTGAGTTGCTTCTCTTTTACTCTGTTCCAGGGTGAAACTTATTGCATTTGTTTATTGCATCAGTTAAAATGAAGTTTAAAACATCTGTTTATTTTTTTAATCCAGCTTTCATTTTCATTATTCATGGGCCAAATATATACTTGAGGTAAAACTTTCAACAATTTAAATGAGGGATAAATTGAGCCCGCTATTGTATGGCTGAAGCTGTGTGTCATATGCAGTTTTTTATTGCTTCTGAAGTGTGTATTAATAAATCAGCACTGCAAGAAGAAATTTCATTTAACAATCTTAGATTCTGATGGCATTCTGCATGAGTGGGGGGAGAAAGAGAAAGACTATAGCATGGGCTGTATAGCAGCACAGTATCAGCCAGGGTTTCTAATCTGCACTGTGGGCAAATAACTGGTGATGCCACTTTCTGGGGTGCAGACCCAGACTACCAGTTCTGGGTCTGTCAGTACCAGTTACCTCCCTTCAACAGCCATCTCAGCTGGTTGATGTATAGGCATAAAGATTGGAGTAGAGGTCCTACCTGCTCTCCACTTTTTCCTCCCCATTCTCCACTCCTGCATCTGTTGGGACTATCTGAGTTGCTTTCCTACATTCCCACCAAGTGCCAACACTAACATTTTGGCCTGCCTAGACACAACACTCAGAAGGAATAAGGAAAACTTTCAGTCTCAGTTAGAATCTAGTCCTAAGCAAATATGGAATAGACTCGAGTCTGATTTATAAACTGCCAATAAGAATATATAAGAATTTCACAAAATATAATAAAAATATTCAGAGCTCAAAATAGGAGTAATGAAAATGGAGGTGGTAGATTCTTCACTGTGAGAATGGGCTGCCACTCAGGCTGTCACAGTGTTGGAACAGAAGTTGCTTTGCTTAAAAATATAGAAGACAGAATGTCCTTAATACCTAACATCCTTTTCAGAGAAACACCACGCACTAGAATCACTGGGGTTTTAGTTTATTTCAATAGCATATTTTCTGGTTCTGTTTAGCAAATGTCCATGATAATCTCTCTGGATAACTGTATCTTCCTCCTATAGACTTTGGCTGATAGAGTTATTTAGAGCCTGGAAGTTTCTTACATAGAGAAAACAGGGTTCTTGGTTGGATATGGTAAAATATATTACTCAATGCACATTCATACATTTGAAGAGCTCAAATGTATAAATGTAAGGGTGAACATAGGAACTGCCATAATGGGTCCATCAAGCGCATAATCCTGTCTTCAACCGTGGTCAGCACCAGTTGCTTCAGAGGGAAGAGTAATCAGCCTCACGTCAGTACATCTAATAGTTAGGGACTGGGTTATGCTCAGGAACATGGCATTTTATAGTCCTTCTTCAGTTTTTGTTGTTATTATTTAAGATGTCTGTGTATATTCTTGTTATCCTTCTAAATGTCCAGCCTCTTTTTGAACCTTGCTAAGTTCTGAGCCTGAACAGCCTCCTATGGCAGTGAGTTTCACAGTCAAACTATTCTGTGCATGAAAATACAATTATTTTAGCAGTTTAGAATTTGCCGTTTTATAATTTAATTGCAGGCCCCTGTCCCTTTTGTTTTCTTCTGCTGGGTTATAGTATCAGGAGAGCGCACAATCTGTTCTCCCTTCTCTGTACCATTCTTTGTTATATATACTTTTCTCATGTCCCTCCTAAGTTAAACAATGCTATTCTTGTCAGTCTCTGTTCATATGAGTTTTACTAGGCTATCAATCATTTGCGTCACCCTTTTGATATGCCCTAATTCTGTAATATTCTCTCTAAGATTGGGTGAACAGTACTGCCTGGAATATTTTAGGGGTACCCACGAGATTGATTTATAAAACAGCATTGTAATATTCTCCTTATTTTTTCCACCCATTTATTATGTATTATGTATGCATTGCTTTGTTATGTTGGGTGCACTTTGAGCAGAGGTTTTCTATAGGTCCCTTTCTTGAGCTGAGACAGACTGCTGTAAGGTGCATGACTACTTTTCTTTCTTCCTCCAGTGTGCATTACATTATACTTTTGACATTATACATTACACTTCATTTCTCATCATGCTTCCAGCTTAACTAACTTGCTGAAGAACTTAAGGAGCTTTTAAGAACTCTTAAATTCTTCACAACTCCCTCTGGTCCTGACTAATCTAAATAAATTGGTGTCATTTGTAAGTTTTTCAATCTCATTTTCTCCCTGCCCTTTTGAGATCATTAGTAAACACTAGGGCTGTACGAAGCTTCAGTCCCTGATTTGATTTGGTAAAGATTCAGCCTGATTCAGTGGCTGAATCTCCAAATCTGAATCAAATCAGGGGACCCTTTAATTTCTCTGAATTGTATCGGAACCCTCCAAATCGATTCGGAAAGATTTGGACAGATTCAGAGATTCGGACATAGACACAGCTTTAAATGTTTCTTCTACATACCTCTAGGTAGCTGGGGCTCTGAACGCTGTAGTGCTGAGGCAGATGCAGCGTCCTACAGAAGCACGGGGGGCTCACCTGCATGCTCGGCAGCAGACCCAGAAGTTGACCAGAAGCACTTCTGGTCCACTTCCTGGTTCACTGGGGAGCGTGCAAGGGGAGAACCTCCCTGGGTCCCTGCACCTCCCTGGCTCAGCGACTGGTGTCTCCTGGGTCTGGGGGGGCACCCAGGGTCCCTTTGTGTCTGATTGCCGAGCTGGAGGGGTTAGGTGGGGGGCCCCCCAGTGCGCTCCCTGGCAGACCCATAAGTGGACTGGAAGTACTTCCGGTCCACTTCTGGGTTTGCTGCTGAGCATACTGGAGAGCCCCTGCCATGCTCCTATGGGATGATCCATGTGCCCCAGCACTGAAGCAGTCATGAGCCTTAAGGTACATAGAAAAAAGCTTTGAAAGCTGTGCTTGTGTCCGAATTGCTGATTCACCAAATCAGCATCGAATCTTCAAATTTGGATTCGGACGAATTGAATCAGGGACAGTAATCCAAATCAACAGATTGAATCACTCACTGTCCCTGATTCGGGTTGAATCTGAATCAAATAGGGCCCGTTTTGCACAGCTCTAGTAAATATATTAAAAAACAGCAAGTGAGGTATTCAGTGGGGTTCCCCAGGGGTCTGTCTTGGGTCTGGTATTGTTTAACATCCTTGTTAATGATTTGGGCAAGAGGACTGCGTGCATGCTTAGTAAATTTGTGGATGACACCAAGCTGGTTGGAGATACAAACACTGTGGAGGGTCCAGGACTAGGATCCAGAATAACGTGGATAAACCAGAGAAATGATCCAAAAACAATCAGATGAAATTCAACAAGTACAAGTAAAAAGTCTTACACTTGGGATGGAATAACTATGTACAAATACAAACTGAGAAATGACTGGTTAAGCTGTGGTACTACAGAGAAGGATCTGGGGGTTACAGTGAACCATAAAATTAATATGAACCAAGAATGTGCTCTTATTCCCCAAAAAGCCAACAACATACTGGGCTGTTATAAACAGCAGTGTTGCTTGCATA